GCTCTTCCTGGACAGCTCACATCTGGTGACTGAGCAAGGCGGGTGCGCAAAGGCCTGGACGTCTCTGCCCAGTGTGGCACAGCTCTGATGGGCAGACCTTGCCCCGGAGCTGCCCACCACGTTGGGTGAGGCTTGGTCAGGCATGCATTACAGTCTGCATTCTCTTTGCTCAATCTTCTTTCCTCCCCCTTCTTTTCACTGGTACTGATCCCTAATAAACAACTTACACCCAAATCTGCCTCAGCATCTACTTCCAGAGAACCCAATCTGCTACAGGCTATATGCTTGGAGGGCAAAGAAGGAACTTGCTAACTAATTTGGAGAAAGTCATTTCACTCTCCTGACCCTCCATTTCCTCATCAGTAAGATGGAGATAATAACCTTTGCCTCTCAGGGTTGCATGAGGCTTAAATGAGATCGAGTGTATAAGTCACCTGGCACAGTGCTTGGCAAATAACAGCATACAACGTTTAAAAGGGAGGCTTCCTGAGAAATGGACAGCTTCCCACGCTGACACAGCTTTGTGAGTGCTCTGGTGAAGAGAGAGAGCTGAGTGTTCAGTTTTCTGGCCAATTCACTGATGGTAATAATAATGGCTAAGTCTTACAAGGCATACACTGTGAGCCAGGCACAGGAGTGTCTTCATATATTAACTCATTTAACACACAAAACAATCTGGTGAGAAGGTGCTGTTCTGGGTCCCATTTTACAGATGAGGAGACTGAGGCACAGAGAGATGCTCACAAACTCGTCTCAGGTCCCAAGACTGGAAGTGAGAGAGCTGGGCTTTGAATCCAGGAACCTGGCACCAGAATCTGTGCTCTTGCCCACGAGAACATATATTGTACAAAGAACTCGACGCAGAATAAAGTAATCCTGCCTCTAACCTCCCACTTCTCCATGACACCCTTCCAGAACTAATTTTTCTGAATAGGAGAGAAGAGGGTGAGGAAGATGTCACCCGCCTGCTGCTGAGCTGAAGTTTATTCATCCTTTTTGAAGCCTTGAGGGAGGGAGACATCACCCGTGTCTCCCTGGGGCCAAGACGCCCACCAGTAGGCACTGCTCTGGCAGATCATCTGAGGGCAGGAGTAAGACATTGACAGTGGCAGCTTCCTTGCAAAATTTCAGGTATTCACAAATAATTAACTCAGTTTTTTCAACACGTCTTTATTTGCTTAAGTTAACAAAATATAGGTTACATGCTATTTTCAGGTAAACTGCTTTTTCACTGAAGCAGAAAGCAATATTCACAACTTGGGTTGCTACACACTTTGAGTTTTATTTTTAAATAGCAAGCCAGAATTCTGTACAAAATCAACATTTGGTGTAATGTTGTCCAAATATGTGAAGGATTTTAAATGTTAGCTCTGTTACATTTTGTTCCAGCAAAGCAGACAAAGATCATAATTCAAAACGTGATGTTAATATTTTATTAAATGGCCTCAGGGCTTAATAAATACAGTATGCACATTGGGTTGTCTCATGTAACTACTCATATACAAATATACCAGTTACCCTTCTGGGGTCATGGAAAGTCAGCCTCAGTCTCATGGCCAGTGGGGAGTCAAATTTTTAAAGAGAGAGAATGAGTTGAAAGGCAACAAGAGGGGGTAATCATAGGCCGGAATAAGAAGGATAAAAGAAAAATATGCCAGTTGGCTGGGTCAGTTGGTTGGTTCAAAGACAGTGGTCAAAAGCCTGGAAAGCATTTGGTAGTGACCTATTTTCAGAGTGTCACAATGTGATGGATTTCATGCTATCCTGGTCCTGGGACTGCTGATGACCTTGGATGGTTTCCTTCCTTAATTCTCTTGAGGATGGCCTCATGGCTTCTCTTTCAGACTTGCATCCTGGTTAATTAGCTCTAGGCAAGGTTGGCCAACTCTTCCCTTAGCTCTGCACTATATGGGCATAGGGTGCCCATATAATTTACCACCCAAACTGGAACACTTTTGAGAGTTAAGGTGACACTCTTAGTAACTACCTGGGGACAACAGGTATAGGCCCGGGTTGTCCCAGGCCAACCAGGATGTTGGTCACATACAAAACCAAGGTTTTAGCCTTGGTTCTCAGAAGGTCAGTGCATATGAACCAGTGGGTTATATCTAATTAAGTCTCTCATATCCAGAGTCAAGAATGAAAAACAGGCTTTAGAATACATTCCATAACAATTTTTTATGACTTTTCCTAGACCCTTTTCTCTTCCTCCAAATGAAATTTTACTTGGAAGGCTAACACAGAAAACAGATGGAATTTGAGCCGCTCTGAGTGAAGTGGGGATATGGGTTGAGAATTTTTCCTCCCCTGGCAGCTCTAGAAGGGCCTAAGAGGGACCTCTTGCTTCTCAGCACACAATGTGGAAACCAGCATTCTAGACTCTTTCCATCTCAACATTAACTTGTTTCTCAAACACTCCCACATGATTCGTTTTGGGTGGAAAAGTCTACAGCTTGCTATGCTAGACTTTCTAGTTCCTATTCCAGCTCCGCACACCCAGAACAAACTGGAAATCTGCAGCCTTTGTAGCAGGTCCTCAACACCTGGCTGCTGAAAGAATGAATATGTGACAGGACCCTAGGAGGAGGCCTCACAGAACACTCTGCCAGCCTCTGAGTGATGTCATCAGAGACACTGATGAGCTGTATTAATAATAATGGACGCAAGGCAAATTGCCCCTATGAAGATCTGGATGGATTCTTGGCCCAGGGTTGTGCTGGTAACCGCAGAAAACCACACTCTTCCCTTCACCATCCCCTTGGCAGGTGCTCTGACCTTGGGGCATCGGTGGCCGTAGCCAACACAAGCAGCTTCGGCACGTCGTAGTGGTGGTGAGGCTGGGCGAAGGAGGCTTAAGCCAGGCAGCGGGAGGAACGAACGCCTCAGGGATTGACACAGCGCACGTGTGACCGACAAGAACTAGATGAGGCTGACGGGGAAGCACCTTGGCCAAGAGAAAAAGCCAGCATCCCACAGGCAGAGGTGGGCCAGGTCGCCTAAAGAAATGTGCTGGTAACTTTGAGAGGAGAAGCAACTGATAAACAGCACCTATAGCTCCGCAAGTGTGGGTTGAAACTACCAAGGGGCAGTTTTTACACAAACACAGACACAGTACCAGAGGGTCACTGCTTATGGTCAGTCACACATATGTGACATCCTGTCAGCACTGCTTTATTTGTCAAACGCCGGTGCCTAAGGGAAGCCTACCTGCGGGGCTCGACCCACGCTTCACAGCCACTACCACTCACTGGACTCACGATTCACACATCTAGGAAGAAATAATTAGTCACTATAGGCTGGCTATGTATTTTTAAACATTAAGTGACCATAAGCAACACAGGCGTCATTTCTAGTACAAAAAGTGTGTGTTTATACAGCGTGTGTGTGTGTGTGTGTGTGTGTGTGTGTGTGTGCTTCCTCTCGTGAGGCTCTTACAGAACAGTTAAGAAGGCCTAAGTCAGCAGTATGATTTCAAGGTCTCCTGCTTTCTATCTTAATGAGTCTAAAGCCAGAAGCTGAAATATTTATGGAGTCCCTGGGAGGGGGTCTTGAGAGCCACTATTTTAGCCTAGTCAATCTTTCTCAACCCTGGCTGCACATAAGAGTCATCTGGGGCAACTTGGAAAATAACCAGTGCTGGAGCTCCACACTCTAGACCAATTAAATCAGGACCTCAGGGGGTCAGGCCCCAGCACTGGTATTTTTTAAAAGGCTCCCTGAGATGATTCTAATGTTCAGGTAGCACTGAGAATACAGCCCAGAAAATCCTTTACTAGTGATTAGCCTATGGTTATTCTAATACTCTAAATAAGTCAGAGCTTAAATTTCAGGGAGAATTCCTCCCCCCGCCCCAGCTCCAGCACTGAGGAGAAATCCACTGCTCATGGGGTGACAACTCTTCCTGCAGCTGCTTTATGGCGCATGAAGCCTCGAGCAAGGTCTCCAGGAGGGAGCTCTGCTCAGGACACAGGGTTAGCCTGCAGATGCTGAGCACTGTCGGGCTATCTGAAAATATGCCCCAAATGCCACATCTGATGAAGGTAGCAGAAGCCAAATGAGGCAGACCCAGCCAGGGGTCTAAGTATTGCTGTTTTTTCCTTAGTCAAAATTATTCTTATTCTCTTGAAATGTTATCTTATATCTGCAGCAACTACTTGAGAAGGTCCTCTTCAGTAACTCACCCTCCTGTGTCATTTCTGGCGTTTTTTGATTATTTAATCTAGCAAATTTTAAACTATATACAACTACTCATATTTTCATCTATCTGGAAAAATATTATACCTTTTATACATTCAACTAAAGAGTCATTAATAAGGTAACATGTCAAGCACCATAGTTTTGCAACTAGAAAGAAATTTACCGTATTAGTCAATGGAAAATATAATTTCTAAAAGCACCTCAGCATCAGCTTACCGTTAGATGTCTGGAAGAATATGTACAGTTTATTACACTGGAGATCCACGAAATAAAATTGAAGAAGACCTTGCATGTGTGTTAAAAATCAAGGGCCCAATGAATGACCTGAGACGCATTTACATGAGTGAGGACGTCCCTGCTCATTTAGTCTGAGCCATTTGTAAAGATTCGTGCCCTTCTCCAGCCTCCAGCAAATGAGAGCTCATGCGGAAAGCTGTACTTGCACAGCCTAGTGCTCATTTTCCAAGTGTAATTTTTAAACGGTCCACTTAGATCCCTAAAAGCACTGCTTGGTTTTCCATTTTCCTCTCCAGTAATTCTTTTAAACTCTCATCTCTGTGCTTGAAGTACAAGTAATCAGAAAAGGAGGGGCCCCGCCGAGCGCTCTGCAGGGCCCGGAGGAGGCCAGGACACTCGTCTCTGCGGGCAAACTCTCTCTCCCGGCCGCCCTCGGGCCCAGGGCTGGCCCGGCTCCTCGGCTGGAGGTCCCCTTGCGGCGTGTCCTCCCCTGCCTGCGCCTCCGCCCTGGGGCCCGACTCGGCCTTGGCGGACAGGTCCTGCGGCGCGCAGAGCGGCGGGCTGCGGGGGCCGAGGCCCGGGCTGTCCCGCCCCGCCTCGCAGCAGTTGTCGTCGTCGTCCTCCTCGTGGCAGGAGCTGCCCCTGGCGCTCTCCGCGTCCGGCTGGAAGGCCGGCCCCTTGGCCCGGCGCCTCTGGGACAGGTCGAAGGGTTCCTCCTGCTGCAGGCTCCTCAGGCCCCCCGCCGTCTGCGCCCCGGCAACTCTCCCCCTTCCAAAACCTGCCGGAGCAAAGGCACGTTCAGGCCCCGGGAAACGTTCAGGTCGCTGGGCGGAACCCAGGGCCGGTTAGTGTAGCTTACTTTTGCATTTGAAAAATAGAGAAATCCCCAGGAAGGCTGTAGAGAGATGGGCCTTGTCACAGATGGAGTCTACATCGGTATGACTCCTTTCAGGGGAATTTGGCAACATGCAAGAAAAGCTTTAAAAATAAGCACACCTTTGACCTAGCAGTTACACTACTGAGAATTTAAACTATGAAAATAGTCTGGCAGATGCACAAAATGTATACGTAAGGATGCTCATCACCACGCTTTTAATAGTGAGACTGTGAAAACAATGATCAATTTAACGATAGAGGTTTGTTTAAATGAATAATAGTACCTCCATACAATGAAGGTATTATGTGTGTAGACGGTACTTCTATGTGTGGAAGATGTAGAGACCTATTACTGATCATAAAAGGTATTCTCTATATACTTTAAGTAAAAGAAATATATATTTATCATATATATTATTTAGCATATATATTAATAGTGTAGATTCTATTTTGTGTATCAAAAAATATCTGGAAGGACATATGCCAAAATCTCAAAAATGATTAACTATGAGGTGATGTTTACATTTTCCTTTTCACTTCAAATATATTTCTTTTTAACAGTGAGCACACATTTTACCATAAGAAAAAAAATAAAACAATAACAGAGATATTTTCAACTTGAAAAAAGCCCCAGATATTCCATTTGGGACCAAGGGGGCCACCCCATAACTGGGCCCCCTGAGCATAGACAGAGTAGGTAGGGAGGGTGCAGGAAGGTCCTCTGAGGAGCTCAAAAGCCCTTGTGTCCCAGCACAAGGGTCCTTGCTGTTGGGCACAGTGATGTAAGAGGGTCTCATTTTTAGTTTCAGTTTGAAGGCCCTTGTAGGGATGGACTTTTCAGCAGCCAACAGGCATGTGGTAGGGCTCCACCTGATTTGATCTTGGAGGTGTCTGCCCGTGGTAAGCCAGCAGCCAGGCCCTGAGGACCAGGCGGGGAGGACTGAAGAGAGGGATAGGAGGGAGGGGGCTGGGGTGCGGCCAGACCCTGCTGCACAGGGGGAAGCAGGCTTCTGGGGTGGGGATGCACAAAGGAAGCCGAGGTCCAATGCTGCCTGCTTTATGGTGTGGTCAGGCGATGAAGCTGTCTGTAGCTTTAATCTTGTCAGGGGCACAGGGAGGATCTTTTTAATCTGGGTCTTGATTTTTGAGCCATTTCAAAACCTAGAGTGAAGAAATGCTAACACCTTTTGTAGCTGAAAACATTAAAATTGTTGAAAGTCTGTTAAAAACTTTCAAAGCAACTCTCTGATATATGGTGATGCTCTTGATTTTTCCAGGAGAATGACAGTCTGTAGTTGCCTGTTAGGATATGAGTATCCATATGCGGTAAGTCCTGGTGAGCAAGTCAGGCTTTCAGATGCAGGACTGTCTCCTCATCACCTTCTGTGTCTCTAGCCCTGGTGACTGAGCATACTTCACCTATTCTGGAAGAATCCAGGCCTAGCTTGGGAAGCAGCTCAGGCAACCAGAGATGCAAAGAATGATTCAGAAAAAGAACATTCTCAGGGAAATAAAGTGCTTTTGTTTTTTGACCAGAATTTTTTCAGGGCTTTTGTACAAACTCCAGGCCTTGTTTTATGATGATCACAGTTTCCTCTCAACCAGGAGTCACCACAAACTCAGTGGGTGTTTGAGAAACCTGAAAGCTACCATCATTTTGTTTCATGCTGGGTGTGCACGCGTGCATCCTATTCATGAATCTGGGTGCCCAGTTGACCACCTCTCTTGTAAACGGGTGGGAGAAGCGGCAAACATGAACAACCCCGCCCATGTTTTTACCCAGTGCGGTAAGCACTGGCTGGAGCCAGAAATTCCTGAGTTAGAATCTCAGTTCTGCCTTCAGACCTGCTGTTTGACCTTGAGCGGTTTATGTAACACCTCTTGGCCTTGGTCTCCATTTCCATAAAATGAGAATAACACAGTCTACTTTGTGGAATATTGGGGACGAGCAATAAAATCTAAGTGCATCACCCTGTGCTTGGATCATATGTGAATCAGAACATGTCAGCCAGTTAACATGATATTGTAAGTTACGTATATGTGTGTCTTCTCTCCCCACACACAGACCTCCCAGAGGGCGAATGAAGGTGGTCTCATTCCCCTCGTATCTGCCATGGCATATAGCACACTGCATTGGACAGAGAGCATTTACTGCCCATTTATTGAAGGACAACCTACTGAACCCAGTACATGTGGAACATAAACTCTTCACTGCTAAGGAAGGAAGGGACCGAGAAGATGAAGGAGGCAGAAACTTTCTTCAGTTCAGTTAGGGCTCAGCTCGGGAGACTCACTACTCTGCCTATGGGCCAATCAGCCCTACCAAGCAGGAAAACTGTGCTTGCGAGTTTCTGGTTGTGAACAGATAGACGAGACCTAGCCTGCTACAGACACACTTCTGCTGACAGCAGAACTTGCAGACCTGCCCCTTAACAGCAGTGCGATAAAGAGGATACAATAAGGCTTTAGAGTCAGAAAGGTCTGTGTTCAAATTCTCCGTCTGCTGCTTTTCAGCTGAGCAAGTTAATATTTCAAAGCCTCGTAACAGAAGTTCCTCCAGCCTGGAGTTACTATCAAGATTCACAGAGACCAAGCACCTGCTGCAGGGTCTGGAACAAAGAACTAATAGTGGTACCGAGTGGCATCATTATGATATTCTAATCTACCCCCTAAAATTCACTTTTACTTACCACCCTCAGATACCAGCTTTACGTGTGTTACAGCAACACTGCCAACCTGCTCCCGCTACTCTGCTGTGGTCTTGAGAATTATGCTCCCTTTTATGACGGTAAGAATAACCCCCCAAAGTAAAGCTCCCTAAAGACAAGTTCAGCTCCCATTTGTTCCTCACTGGCCTGGAAGGGTGATTACCTTGAGAGTGGAGGCCCCGCTCCATGACCCCATGCTTCACTTTCATGTGGCGTGTCAGGTTCCCCTTCAGGGTGAACTTGCTGGGGCAGTAGAGGCACTTGAAGGGTTTGCTGTCAGAGTGCAGGTGCATGTGGCCCATTAGGTTGTGCATCCGGTTGAATTCCTTCCCACACAGCTGTGAAGACAGTGATGAAGAGAACACAGGTTACTCAAAGGCAGGGACCCTGCCCAGGTGGCCACACCCAGGCCTCTGTGAGGACGGATGTGTTGCTACTTTGTCTGGATCTTGGCATTTTTAAGTTGCTTGCAAAGAAACTGTCCCCATGGAAGTCAAGGAGGGGCTGGGTCGAGCCCAGGTTCAGAGGTAGAACAGGTAGGGATGGATTCATGAGATTTTACTCCTGTTGTATTGGGATTTTTAAACTCAAGGTAAAAATTGCAAAGCTATTAAAGCTTCTTCTGAACGGCAACCTTTTGGAAAGGAGAAAAGCTGCTCTGAAAGCAATTGCTCAAAGTGTGCTTCACTTGAATGATAAGGATACGATGACTTGTTTAATATTTATGGAGTGTTTACAATATGGAAGGCACTGTCCCAAGTCTGCCATGGAATATCTCATTTAACCCACATCAGTCGTATGAGATGGGTGCTGTTCTCATCCCTATTTTACAGACGGACAAACTGAGGGATTAAGAGTAAAGACTGGCCAAGGCTCACAGATGGAGCTGGGATAATAAACTCAGGTCCTCGGACACCAGAGGCCACACCGTCCATCACCACATCATACTGTGTCCCCCCAGTATAACTCTTCTGTTAGACTATATCAGGCAATGCTTTTCTAATTTTTAAATTTGCTAACTTTGGGGATGGATTTCAGAGTTAAAAGGAAGGAGTGTGTCTTTTCTCTGGGTAGAGATCTGAAGTACTGAAAATATCATCCTAGGTATACAAAAAGCAAACATATTTTATTCACTTTTTTAAAATTTCTGTCTCCATCAAATTGCAAAAACATGATGGACCACCGCAGTTCTCCAGCTCCTTTGGGAAGAACAGAACTGCCTTTTCAAAGGCAATGTGTGCAGATGCAGATGGTGTAAGACAGAAGCAGTTGTTCTGGGGTGCTTTCCTTGCTTTTCTTGTCCCCAAGCTTCAGCACAGCAGGGTTTGGAAGCTCCAGCCCTTCCTTGACTGTGCTGTGAGGAATGCAAAGAAGGATTCTGTGCCTGTGCTGGGACCAGAGCATTAAGGGAGGAACATTCTCCTTCCCTTTCCCTTCCCACCCTCAGAGGCCCATGTCGTGAGGGTAGTGATATGAGGCAAGAGGTGCCCAGAGAGAGGATGCCGGGTACAGCATCCTCCGAAGCTGACACCCTCCTCCTTTCTCACCGAGAGATGTTTTCAGGGCCACTGTGGAGGTTCTGGGTTGAACTTTTATTAATGAAGACAGTGTTTTCTTCAGGTGGCTATGGAGGTGAGAGCTGAGCTGGCCTTGGAAGAATGGGTACACCTAACAACTGTGACCTTGGGAGATTAGCCTAAAAGAATGCAGGGCAGGAAGAGGAAGCCATCCTGGGATTACAGATTTGTCACAGATAATCCATGCATGAATAATAAACGGCTGGTTCTGTATTTTTAAATGATTCCTGTTTGGGGGTTTTACGTACTTTTTCCCTTTTTACTTCCTTACTAGCGAGAATGAACTCAGCATACTGGTACCCCACACTCAGTATTCAGAGCACCCCTCACCACATTCATTTGGAAAAGGTGACCCAAGAGGGGAAAAGCCGAGAGAGTGGGTCTAATTTAGGGGAAAGTATGGATACTTGCTTTCTCTTTATTCTCAACCGAGACAATTTATAAAGATATTTCAGCCTGTGGCTCAGTTTTGCCCGTGTGTGAGAGTTCTGGTAGAGTTCTCTTTATTAGCTTAGTTTATCCAGTCAGTCATGGGTCATTCTAGAAAAGATATATCTCATTTGGTTCATGGGACAGTTCTGATTATTCGGGGCAATGCTGCTGCTGGACTTGCTGAGCTGAACGGTCCTTCGTTAGACTGCAGCATCTCTGAAGGCTCTGCCTGCCTTTGGGTTACAATCCCTGCCTAGCACCAGGCTTGACACATGATAGTTCCTTAGTAAGTCTCTGTTGAGTGAGTGAAGGGGTGAGGCACGTTGCAGCAGCAGATCTGCAAACAGCAAAAGCCATGGGGAGTTAAGCACAAGACATGTAGGTGGAGGGGAGATAGAGGTTGGAAGGTCAATTAGGCCACTGCACTGGTCCAAGCCTGGATGGGTCTCATGGTCCTATAGGCCAGACGGAGAGAACTGAAGGAAGAAATGGGTTCCTCTTTCCTTTAGTGACTTGCATGGAGGGTGATATTCCACTTTTAGTTATCATCTGTGGTAGCTGAGGTATTAGAAGCTGGATTGGTCTGAATGGGTTTTATAAAGGAGAAGAAATTTTAGCCTAACCTTGAAGAATATGTGGGGTGCCTTTTGTTTTTGTTTTGACACAAGAATAAAGTCTCCTCATTAAATATTTTCAGGCACTTCAATCAACCTTAAACTACAGGCACAGTAACTATTACTATTGTGATAATGATCCACCGCTTGTTGCTGCTGCAACTGCTGTAACTCTGGGGTTAGAGCAGTTCCTGTAATTCACCTGCCTGACGTCGCAGCTCCCTTCCCCCGTCACCCTACCTCCACCCAACACACATGTGCACACATAAAGAGGGCGACTGCTGGGTATTTTCCAGATTCTTCCTCAGCCTCCGAAAAGCAACCTTTTATGATCATCATAGCTGAGTGTGCGTTTTCTACTCTAATGCTTTTCTGGATCAATTCATTCAGTACTGAACTTCCTAGGACATTTTAGTGGTATATGGGGACATTAGGATGTTTTATCATTTTAATGAATGATGTTGTCTCCTGAAGTCATGGCCTACAGCCTCAGGGAAGAAGCTCCACTGTGGAGCGTGGCCGGTCAGCTATATTATCTGATGTGTGATTGGTAAAGAAGACTAATTTTGTTGCTGTGGATAAAATTTAATTTTTATATATGGGAGTTACCCTCCATGGTTTATGATAGGCTACTGAGAGCCAGTGGAGAGCTTTCCCAGGGCTAAGCAATAATGTGTCAACTCTGAAAGATGTTTAGGGCACTAAAAGGTGTCCCAGGTAGTATTCAGAAACATAAGAACTACCTTCCTCTTCTCTGAGGCCAACCCCAGTATCAAGTACAGGGCTACACACATAGTAACACTTAGTGAATATCTAAGTATATGGTTAGGAAAGAAACAACCAAGTCAGGAAAAATATCACCTCCTTATGCAAAAATTCCACAAGGCAGCCATCACCAACTCTCTCTCATGCCCCCTTTAAAGCTATACATATTAGTTTGCAAACCAAAATCCTCAGTGGCAGAAGGACAGAGACAGTTAACTCAGGACCTGAAGTACTTGGACACCACTCACATCTCAGCAGTTGGTACCCTTAGCTCCTTCCTCTCAGCCTCTGACCCTTCCACAAGCCCTTCGGTCCTTATCCAGAACACCTGGCCTCTTCGTCCTTCTCAGAGGATTGTCCTCACACAACTATACACAAATGGGGCTTCCCTGGTGGCGCAGTGGTTGAGAGTCCGCCTGCCGAGGCTGGGGACGCAGGTTCGTGCACCCGGTCCGGGGAGATCCCACATGCCGCGGAGCGGCTGGGCCCGTGAGCCATGGCCGCTGAGCCTGCGCGTCCGGAGCCTGCGCTCCGCAACGGGAGAGGCCGCGACAGTGAGAGGCCCGCGTACCGCAGAAAACAACAACAACAACAAAAGCTATACACAAAAGAACGCATATATTTTGTGTCTGTGAAATGCGGAGAGGTCTCTCAGGCACCATTAGTGAAGAGGGACCACAGAAGGAGGGCTGGGGCAATTAGAGACGGCACCCTCAGGTGGGGCTCGAGTGCGAGCTCTAAGCAGAATCCTGGTAGTAGAGGAGAGGAGCAGACGGGAAGGAAGGAAAGCTGGGAGGGAGCATCCGAACTCTAGTTTCTTCTCCTGGGCACAGCAGTCATCTGTAAGGCCCCCTTTCATCATGAGACATGAGGTTAAGAGCTTGCCCAAGTCAAGACTTGCTGAATCACCTGCTGCCAAGGTCTGTGGAGATTAAAGCCACAGTACTGGTACAGGAAGCTGCTGGAGTGATAAGGAGTCAGATGTCATCTTGCAGGTGGTCATCTCAACCAGTCCAGCCCTTTTGAACTCTCAGTTGCTCTAATGAGCAGTATTAGTGTGCTTCTGACATTAAATATCAGTTTTGCCACCAATACCCACTTTTATACCTACTTTTTTTTTTTTTTTTTGCGGTACGCGGGCCTCTCACTGTTGTGGCCTCTCCCGTTGCGGAGCACAGGCTCCGGGCGCGCAGGCTCAGTGGCCATGGCTCACGGGCCCAGCCGCTCCGCGGCATGTGGGATCTTCCCAGACCAGGGGCACGAACCCGCGTCCCCTGCATCGGCAGGCGGACTCTCAACCACTGCGCCACCAGGGAAGCCCTATACGTACTTTTAAAGAGAGAGGTGGAAGCCTGTTGCTTACTTCCCTGGTGGCACAGTGCTTAAGAATATGCCTGCCAATGCAGGGGACACGGAATTGACCCCTGGTCCGGGAAGATCCCACATGCCACGGAGCAACTAAGCCCTTGTGCCACAACCACTGAGCCTGTACTCTAGAGCCCGCAAGCCACAACTACTGAGCCCGTGCGCCACAACTACTGAAGCCCCTGCGCCTAGAGCCTGTGCTCCGCAACAAGAGAAGCCACCACAATGAGAAGCCCGCACACCACAACGAAGAGTAGCCCCTGCTCACCACAGCTAAAGAAAGCCCACACGTAGCAACAAGGACCCAATGCAGCCCAAAATAAATAAATAAATAAATATATAGAGATGGACCTCAACATGTAATAGAAAATTGGAACAAATGTTTTGAACTGCCCTTTAAAAATGGGTTGCATGGATCATTAGGCTTTGAGATGGCAGAACAGAGAGGCAGTGGTGAAACCCCAGAGCGATACAGAACTTGCTCCATTTTCTCTTCTGTAAAATGTCGATGATAATCTTAGTTTCCCATGAAGGCTTTTTTTAAAAAAAATAAATTTATTTATTTTATTTATTTTTGGCTGCATT